TTTTGATTTTCTGTTTAGATAAAGATAAGGATTAGCTTTCCTTGATTTTCTCCTTTTATTTGCAAACTATGTAACTGCTTCACATTCAGACTTGTATATATTGTATCTGTCACTCACGATGAATAAATATTAAAAATCTTTCACAAAACTTGACATTACTGTTATAATTCAAGGCAAACTTGGTGTTGTTCGGAGCAGGAAATGTGGGCAAGGATGATGCTAGAACTGTGTTGGGCATTCCCTTGTACTGTAGAAAGGCTGTGACTGTCTTGTTATCCACGGAACTGGTGCATCCATGAAAGGCCTTGCCGCCATGAAATACCACCCTGGAGCTTGATCTGCTTTAACTAGAACGTTTGTTGTCTGACCTGGTGCAATCAAGACGGTCGTGTCGTGAAGGGCTTGGTGTAAACTGCATCAATTTCCACCATAGTCATGGTGTGACCGGTGATGGTGAAGAACACCTGGTCGTTGAGTGCAGCATTGATGATCCTCAGGAGGTACGTTTTTCCTGACTCCACTTCCATAGTAAAAGTATCTAAAATGAAAAATAATCGTGTAAGCATGGAGGATAGATTTGAACATGACACCAGAATATAAATTGTAATACATACCTTTCTGAGAGCACGGGAAGAGTGACCCTGGTCTGCCATTGATGGTATGTGCATCAGAAGTTGGTGGTGGTACTTCCAACCTGTTGGCCTGGTTTACAATCGTTTCAACATCTGAATTCGACCATTCTTCTGAAAAATTGGTTTCTAATATTAGTCCAAAGTTTTTTAAAAGTTTCATATTCAAACTGTTAAATTGTAATTTAGGACATTTGAAGTTAAATTAAACTAATGACCTAGGATGATCTTAGTTGATCGATGAGGTCGAGGAAATAGAAATGGAGTCCCTTCCTTTGGAAGAATAACAATGGCACCATAAACAGTAGCCCTCAACCATAGAATTTGTGCATGTTCCTCTCTGCCCGGTGATGTTGAAGTCATAACTCATAAGTGTAGCTGTTTCCGGTCTTGATAGGGCACTGTGTTATGTATGCCGGTCCATCTGCCCAACCATTTCGAAATTGCTTCAAGCCATGCCTACACATCACAAACATTAAATAAGAAGTTAAATTGGAATCTTTCAAGATCTCAGCCTGTTCAGTACGTAATTATTGAATTGCTGTAATTAATCGACATGCCAATGCATAGACATGTTATATTGTGCATGGTTGGTAACATTAACTCCAGCTCCTTCTCTTGCATAAATGGTAGGCCCTCGAAACCTTCCATTTACAGTCACAATTGGCTTTGAATGGCATAGCTTCCTCACATTCTTGACCCTAATCTGAATCCAAAAAGAAGAAGGAAGTTAACCTTACTCAATTCAGATTACAACATGCAACATACAAATAAAGAAACTTAAAAGAACTAGACACCCACGTCAAACTGATACTTCTTCAAGGCTGCTTCCACTGGAAAAGAAAGAAACCCCACAAAGTAGAAGATGAGAAACAATAATCCCAAGTGCCTATTGAGCTGCATTGCCATTTTTTCTCCAAAATGTGACTCTTTTTTGGGTTTGGATGGCATGAAAGAAGCAGCATTGGGTACTTATAGTCGGTCAGAAACTGGAGGTAGGTTAGAGGGTCGTTAGCTAACTGGAGGCAAAGAGTTGGGAGTTTAGTTTGATTAGGTAAAGCAAATGCAAGGGCTATTACAATACTTGGAAGCAAACTTTGTAAGGTGTTGAGACATCCATGTACCGTCCGTTAACATTATGTCCTGAAATTTTCTAATATTTTTTATGCAGCAAATAATAAGTTACACAATAGTAATGCGATTTTTTTATTTTTTAAATTTTTTTCATTCGACTTAAGATTTAAATATGAAATCTCTAATTTTAAGTCTCAAGTTTTTATTAATTGAAATATTACATTAAGTGCATGATTTTATAATGTTATCATAATGGTAATGGCGGTCTCCAAATTGAAATTCTGCTTTGGGATAGCATCTTGCTTGGCTTGGGTGCTGCTTTCTGCCTGCAGGGGGTTGAGGATGCTGGAAATGTTGGTGAAAGAAAGGGACAGGCCGGTATTCTGCAGAAAAATTAGCTTTTCCACAAAGAAAGGACATGCACAACAATGTTCTGCTACGATGATGTTTCTAGAGGCATCTGTTTAATTGATCCATTCATTAGAGTATGTGTCATGTTTGGCAAAAATGGAAAATTTTATAAAAATGTTGTTTGAGTAGATGTTTTTTGTGGATTATTGCTTAACCACAAAAATTATTAGTAGATTATTATTGATAATATAATCTTAATGCATAATATATATTTAAATATTGAAATATTACCCTCTCTAGTCTCTTTTGTTTGTTTTATATGTATAATAAAAATGCAATCTAAATACTGAAATTATCATTAAAAATAATAATAATAATAACAAGATAAGCACCCCACTTTCGCACATGGGCTTAGAGTGGTCTATCAGTCTAGCATCCTTTTTGGGCCGACCAGTCGGCCTTAATGTCAAGTTATTAAGGCCCACTCAGTCCCTATTGACATGAAGGCCCACCACCTTCTCTCCTCTCTCCTCCTCAGCTTGTCACCCGCGACTCTCCTCCTCTAAGCCTTTTCACATTATTATTGGTAGTTTTCAAAATGTGCCGCATGTTTTGCAGTTGAATCTACACTAAATTACAACTTTCTGGCTTCCATACAAGTGGGATCAAAAGACCTGCAGCAAACTGTAACTTCGTGGGCCTAGAATGAATGGGATCAAAGAGAAATTGTATATTCAGAATTTTAAAAGCCTGGGCCTACAACGAGGATGTCACCATCATGCAAAAGCAATCAAACA